CAAACGGACATCATAAAGAAGGCTCTCTCTTTGGCAGGTTCTTCTATCTTTATGTGAAGCCTACATTGAAAGGCAGGGGAGGCAAAAGAACAGTGGAGGAACACAGCTATTCAGTGTTGGCGTCTGCCCATCAGATGGGCTTCTTGTAATATGAACAGCATGTCTTGCCATTGTTTCAGTCATTTTGAAGTAGAGTTTCTACTCACTGCCTTCAAAATCAGACAAAATGACCCAAGTCCACTCCCATATTCAAATCCATAATTACCATTTGTTTTCTCTTCCAAACTACCCACAGCATGGTTATCTACAGTCATAATACTGTATCCACCTTTCCCCTTAGCAGAATAATGATCTCTATAAAGTCTCCATGACTGTTGTAGGAGCTGCATAATGTTCAGCAGCCATCAATGAAGGTACTTGTGATTAGTACCTCAATGCTAATATTTAAGTCTGCCTTCACTGTTATAAACTCCATTATTTTGCAAAGGTACCTCGATACACACACAACAGTGACCACATAAGTATGTACAATCATGAGCAACATCTCATAAAAAGCCATAACTAAATATTTAGTTTCTTCTTAAAAATAATCCTCACACATTAAGAGCCAGATAATATCCAAACTTTGTCTGAAGATAAATTGATTTAAACATCCATCCAGAAAATTGGTAAAATCTGGAATTGCTAAAAAAAAAAAAAAAGTTTTAAACACCTGCTATACAGAATCAACATAAGGCATTTGACAAAAGGGAGGCAGCATTCTGCTGAAACATTGTCTTCATACAACAGATGGACTTCAAAGAGACCAGCCTGTAAACAACAGTGCTAGATTTACATGTGCACTGTCCCTACTTGGTCAAGAGTTGTGGGGCGGGTAGGTGCGTGTGAACAGATCAGCACAACAAGCAAAAGGCCAGAGCTAAGAATCATCCTGACAAAAGTCTCAATTATTTGCACTTTGTCATTTGTTCTACCTGTGTCATGTATTGGTCATCAGCCATCTAGGGTTGAATTCCACTCAGCAGTTTGAAAACTAGGCATCCCTAGCACAGTAGCAGGCAAGTTGCTTCATCTGCTATATCACTCAAAACTGGAAAAGTGACTGCTCTTCCTACGTATCTCAAAGTATTGCTGGGGAAATCAATTGCCTGTTAATTCTTCTTGTAGAAATTTGGAAAAAACAAAGAGAAAATCCAACTGATTCACTTTCAGTTCATTAGCACATTATGGTGAACGAGTTTGTCATAATCACCCCACACTGGTAATATCCACCGGTGCTATTTTCTTAAACCACTCCGAAAGTCACGCCAGCATGTCTTCTTGCATCCTCCCAGAGGATGCTGTGCTCAGCTAATTCTCATCAACAGCATCACTTCCAAGTGGCTTCTGAGGCCCTTTCCAGGGCTTTCCCTGACTGTGACAAAGTTTTCACTGATTTATCAACCTGCTCATTAGAAATGTACATTTCATCTTCAACCCAGAGCTGGGAATTACTCAGGGCCTCTGAGGATAGTCACAGGAATCTGTACTTTAACAAGCTTCTAGATGACTCTGGTGCTTATTTATGAACATGGTCAACCTGGACTGATTCTACCAGTACTACTGTCCAGAATGGTTATCACTAATTTATAAAGTCCTATGAAATGAGGGACTAGGCAGCTCTGTTTCTCCTCTCTGACATGTGACCCACTGGAGCATCTGTACCTTGCCCTGACTCACCTGAGATCCCTACCCTGTCTCTTCAATGCAGCTTCCACCAGCTCTCCCTCTGGAGACACCAATTTCATTCATTTCTCTCAATGCAACCAGATGTACTGCTCCAGGTGTTGCTGTTTTTTTGTTTTGTTTTGTTTTGTTTTGTTTTAAGATTTATTTATTTTTATTTGAAAAGCAGAGTTACAAAGAAAGAAGAGACAGGGGGTGGGGTGTAGATCTTGTCATTCCCCAAATGGACACAAAGGAAGGGGCTGGGCCAATTTGAAGCCACGAGATTTTTCCAGATCTCCCATGTAGGCGTGGGGTCCAACAACAATGGCCTCCTGCATTGTCTTTTCAAGCCATCAGCAGAAAGCTCAATCAGAAACGGAGCCAACAGGACCTGAACCACCACCCATAAGGGATGCTTGCACCACAGGTGGAGGCTTAGTCATGGCACCAGCCCCTGCTGGCTTATTTTGTAAAGGCAGGATCTCATTACTGTATATTATTCTTTTCTTTTGCCTGTTTTTTTTTTCTTTGTAAAAAAAAAAATGGAAAATTTTAAAGCATAGGAAACCAGAAATCATGATCATTATACCTTTTGTTCTTCCTTTAGCCTAGTTCACAGGTATTAAATAAGTATTCCCCCCTACACACAGATATTTCTTCATGTGTCTATAACAAATTAGAGGAACATTGGTGAAATTGTACACATCTAACTGTTTTTTACACTCCTGGTAATATGTCTTTTGATATTCTTATCTCTGTAATTTATGAAGTCCCTTATCAGGCTACTGTGAGAATAAGAAAATACCTATGAAATGCTTAGTCCAACATCAAGCACAGAATAAGGCTCAGGGTGTTGTTGCCTTTATTACCATGCCACATCCTTTCTGGACATATCAGAGCTGGGAAAGCCCTTGGAATAGCTTCAAAATCTGCTTTTCTCCAGATGAGAAAAATTCGAAGCTGTAAGATTTATGAGTTCTGCCCAACACTGCATAGCTACCAGCAGAGGCAAAACAGACAGCAATGTTTCAAATCACAATTTAATATCCTTGGCATCATTTGGTGAAGGTTTTGTTCACTTCCCCTACCTAAAATGTAGGAATGAAAAAGCCATATTATTTAGAATTTGGTCTCAAAAATGTGGGTTTACCTAATCAATGTAGAAGAGTTAATGAAGAATGGAAAGCATGGGACATCAAGATTCAATCTGCTAGGGGCCAGGTGATGCGCCTGCCAGTGAGGCCAGCAACCCACAGCAGCACCGACTACAGTGCTGTTGGCAATTCCCTCCCATCCAGATCCCTATGAATGTACTTGGGAAAGCAGCAGTAGAAGGCCCCAGTACATGAGTCCCTGCCACCCACTGAGGGGACGCACAGGGAGTCCCAGGCTCCTGACATTGGCCCGGCTGAGCCTTTCTGGCGAGTGAACCACCAAAGGAAGTTCTCCCCCTACCCTGCCATAACTGTGACTTTCAAACAAATGAGTAAGTCATTTTTCAAATTTCGAGGCTGCTGAAATCATTAAATTATTACACAGCACATTACTTTTCTACTCTGGTGGCAGGGAGAACATTTATCTCCCATCCTGGGTGGTTTCTTTTGTTTCTCTTATGTTCCATTGCTTTATTCCAGAAAGCACATACAGCTATTGTGCAGTGTTTGAGGTTTTGTCTGGTGAGTTTGCTATGAGCATAAAGGCACTGACAAGATTTAAACTTCTATTCAAATAAAGTGAGTAGAAGAGTAGGAAAAATAAGGACAAGTTACTCTCCTTATTTGGAATATTAAGCCAAAAGATGTGTCAGAAACACAACTACAGATCACGATACTTTTTTAAAACTATAAATTCCTTTCTTATGTGTTTGGATTTAAGGAAGAATTTGTATATCTTTTCCTACATATTTATTCCCTTAATACTTCACCTTTCTCCACACATTAAGCTAAGAATAATAAAAGAAACTGTACAAGCTAGACATGAGATTTTTTTGCTGCAGAGAATCTCTTCCAGTAAACAGTGAGACATACTAGAGTTCTGTGCTTGATATCACCTCCCATTTTTTATAGCCATATTGGCATTCTGTTCATTCTGTCCACAAAACGCCAGTAGAGCGATGACTTCATTCTCCACAGTGAAGGATAATGGATCTTAACCTTCCTAGCATTCTCCTTTAACTCAAAACAATAATGCAAGGGGAGACTGAGATAAATAAAGTCTCTGTAGGAAAAGAATGACACTATGAATGCTAACCTCCAAATTACCTCCAGGAGGTACAACGCACCACCCGCTCCAGGGTTCCAGCTCACAAAATGCCCACTCCCCAATCTGGGTGGAGAGATGCCAGGGATTGTTTTTGGAGGGGAATTCAAACTTTGAAAGACATGAAGTTTTTTTCTGCAGTTGTTAAAGATGGGGGGGGGGTGTCTGACGTTAAACATAATCACATCGCCAAAGGAAGCACCGTTCCAAAGCAGATTACATTGATTCTATTTATTAATGTGATGCTTGTATCGCCACAAACCAAATTAAACATTTAACAACTTTATCCTCAGATGTTTCCAACTAGTCTGGATTTCCCACAAACATGTGCAGTGAAACAATGGCATTCTTGAAAACTGCATTTGATAAAGCAAGTTGCTTCTGTACTGAGAGCTACAATTCCCACTGCCTTTTCCTTTGTTTTCCTTCAGTTTTAGTATTTGCCATATTGGGCCCCAGGATGTGAATATCATTGTACTCGGGTCTGGGGATTTTACCTCACACAAAGGTCAAGAGTGGGATTCATGCAAAGATGTTACCACATTTCTCCAAAACCAAGGTCTGTAATTGGTTGTTCCGTTTGATTAAATACTTTACTTTCCAAAACAAGTAGTTAACTGTCTTCTTTTGCAGTGTCTTTTATAGAAATAGAGTAATCCTCTCAGAGCAAGCTGGAGATCCAGAGAATGTAAAAACAATGCACTTCAACCGCACAACACCTACACACACACACACACACACACACACACACATACACACACACAGAGTGACCAGAAGACATACATGCCCAGGAACCAGAGTGCAGCACCTGGCATCGAAACCGTCTCCCCTGACAACCTTCACAGGAAGCGCGCATTGCTAACTGAAACTTAAAATGCTCAAACACTTAACTCGGTGACCAACAGCTCACACACCCCTAGCCCAAATCCAAGTCCCTCACTCCACCCTCCCCAACACACCCCTGTGCACACCCATGCCAGGCTGGCTCCCTGCCAAGCCCGACCTGCCACCACCGCTGCCCTCAGGCTACTCACCCTGTCTGCAGTCGCAGTAGCCCCAGTCCACCTTGCCGTGGGCGTCCCGGTAGAAGCACCAGGGGCTTCCCGCGCTGTCAAGACTACGGCAAAAGTTGTGGCGCTGTCCTCGCAGCTGAGCCCAGCCCGTGGGGGGCGACCGCTCCAGGAAGGGTGGCACTTCTGCCCACAGCAGACATGGGGCGCCGAAATCCGTCACGTTGATCCACGGCTGGTCAGCGGGGCAGCCGCCGGGACGTGGCCGGGGCGTGTGTCCAGCTTGGAGAGGGGCGTGCAGGCGCCGGGCTGGGAGCGCCCGCGGGGGTCGCGAGAAGCGCGGGACCAGGAGCGGTGGCGGCGTCCTCAGTGGTTGCTGCGCTTCAGGAAGGACGTAAGAGTCCTTGGTATTCAGAGAGGACGGAAGGCGGTGGCCGGGATACCTGACGACTGGCTCAAAGCTGGTCACTTTGGGGAGCGACCCTAAAACCAGAGCCACCACGAGGCGGGCGAGTGTCATGGTGCCAGCACTGAGGGGTTTGGTCCATGCTCCCCAGCTCCTTGGGGTCTGAGGAAGGAGGGGTGGGAGAGGAGGCGGAGCCGCGGCGCCCCTCGGGTGCCCAGCTCCAGCCCCCGCGCGCAGCCTGCGCGCACTCGCCCTCCCCGCCGCGCCGCCCCGCGCGTCCCGCAGTCCTGCGCCCTGGCTGCCGCTACGCCAGGAGACAGGCGGGCAAGTCTTGAGCTCAGCCCAGCTCCCGGTCACGGAGAGGACCAGGAAGGAGGCGGTGCAGCTCGGGCCGGAGCGGTGGGGCCGAAGCCCCCAGGTGGCCGGCCGAGCGCAGCCCCGGAACTCTGCCCCCTGGCTGCGGGCGCCGGGCGCGCAGTCTCGCCGGAGTGGGACTTGGACTGGACCCCTGCACCGCTCCTGCTTCCCACTTCCCGACTGGGACTGCCCGGGCTCGCGGTGCCAGTTTGGGGGCCGGGCTTGGGTGCCTCTTGCCCACAGGCAACACCACCACCGCCCGGGCGTCTGGCGGCTCCCACGTCTGGCACCGGTCCCGCGTCATCTTCCCTCCACCACCCCCGTGTAGTTTTGTTTTCTCTGTGGAAGGCTTTAGAACTGCGGGGATGGAATCAAGTGCAATGTCCCCTGACAACTGCCTGGACAAACGTAGTCAGAGCCCGCGAAGTGGGTGCCAGGTATTGCGCTCAGCTGCAAACGCTTGAAGGACAAGGCCATGTTGAGTAAGTTTGATATCCTGGGCTTAACCCCGCGTCCCAGTCAACATTGGCTGAAATTAAATTCCTGAGCCGACTGGAGGGGAAAAGGAGCCTGAGCCCTTCTCCTTCCTGCCTCCCACTCTCCACCGGGTGCCCTGGATAGCACCAGTTGTTTGGTTATTATTGGGATTCACTGAGGCTCTCCTTAATGCCACATTTCCTCTAACCAGAGGAGGCTGCATCCGTCCCAGCCTCCATTCCATTCCCAAATCCAACCAACCACTGACACCTGCCCTGCTTTTGCAAGGACTTAGGAGAAGCCGGTTTGCCTCTCCCAAGTCAGCTCCTCCTGGCTGCCTACATTTCCCTGATCTGACCCTAGCTATGTATGGTAGGGCCCTTGCAACACCCTCCTCCACCTTCATCCACCCCACCCCCAGAAATGTTGATTTAGGATAAACAAGAAGTCACTGGAGTTGGATGCTTTAGAGTTTCTGCTTTGAATTGTGCCTGACTCTGCTGCCACTGACGTGGAACAATGGAAAGGAAGCCCATAAAGAAGCTACTATTTTACATTCTGGCCTGACTGTGTTTCCATCGTGGGAGAGGAATCCTGCCCCACAGTATCATATGCCTTAAAGGAAACTTAATTGTTTATTGTTATGTGAATTTTCTACTCCCAGCGCTAAATAATCAGTATTTTAAAAATTTTTGTGCATCATCCTATTTGATTTGTTTTTCGCACTCTTGTTAGTAAAGGATTTGACTTTTCCTCTGAGAGCAGTAGATCAAAGAGACAGTTCGAAACCCAGTAGTTTGTCAAATATTTATTCAAGATGTTCTTATTCATTATTTTGCTTTTTGCAGATATTTTCCTAGATTAAAAAACACAGTTAAGGGCTCGACATGGTAGCCTTGTGGCTAAAGTCCTCACATTGCACTTGCCGGGATCCCATATGGGCACCGGTTCTAATCCTGGCAGCCCAACTTCCCATCCAGCTTCCTGCTTGTGGGCTGGAAAATGCTTGGGACCCTGCACCCATGTGGGAGACCAGGAAGAAGCTCTTGGCTCCTGGCTTGGGATAGGCTCAGCTCCAGCCATTGCAGCCTCTTAGGGAGTGAACCATCGGACAGAAGATTTTCCTCTCTGTCTCTCCTCATCTTTGTATATCTGACTTTCCAATAAAAATAAATAAATCTTAAAACACACAGTTAAAACTGTACAAGTGGGGCAGTGCCTTGGCACACCAAATTAAGCCTCTGCTTGAAACTAGCATCCCAAATGGTAGTAGTTTCAGGTTTTGGGTACTCCACTTTTTGTTTAAGGCTTATTTATTTATTTATTTATTTATGTCTTTCAAATAAAAATAATTGTTTTTAAAAATTGTACTCATGGAGGAAAATGAAGGATAAATATATGTTTGGGTATGGCCAGTTTGCTTAGCTTAGCAGCAGATGAAGCTCAGCCATCACAGGTGCTTGAGGGAGCAGGTGACTCTTCTAATTGAATTTTGTCCTTTTCCTTCCTGACTGTCCCTTCCATTGTACACAGAACATTTTATGACCCAGGGGAGCTTCATATTTGGAATTGCACTGCCCTGTTTGGACCCCATACCCGCATCGCTCCCACAACCTCTGCTTTCACATGTCTGGACCTTGCAGAGAAAGAAGCCAGTGAAAGAGAAGACTGTTGGACTGAGTTACGGTCTGGGCAGTCTGACCTCTTCCAAGAGAAACAAGGTTCTCGGACCTCCTTACATTTAATGGGTTATAAAGTTGACACATACAAAGTGGTGCTACCCACAGAAAACCCCACATCTGGATTTCATCATCATAGGCTGAAAACATTCCTTTCTTAGAAAGTACTGTACGTAATGAGACTGTGGAGGTGAGGGTCTTAATTTGGGTTTTGCCCTCTATTTGGGAGACAAGGTAGCACTTGAGCAGCTCTCTTGATTATGTGCTCTTCAGCTCCTCTGCGAGTATTCTGCCTCTCTTCTAGACTTTCTTGCTGCTCGCAACATGGAGATAATGGATTTTTCCAAATCTCACTGCAGCCCTGAATGCATTTCTCTCTATGACCTACCTGGGGATGGCGGGAGGGGGAGTAACGGGTTAGAGTATATGGAGGCAGGACTGTAAAAAATCCTTTCCTTCTTCATGATAAAGGCTCATGAACAGCTCCCTTCTCCAGCTCTCATCACTTTGCATTGCCAGAGACCTGAGGAGACAACTGTGTCTTGTGACAAATCAGAAAGCCTCACAGCTGGCTCTTTGTCTATCCTTCCCTTTCTTGCAGCAGCAGCTAAGGAGCAAAGAGGGGAGGCTCTAGATCATAATTTTTTTTTTCAGGCATTCCCCTGTACAGCGCTGGGAATCCTTAGGATATCAGCATGCAGTCGCTTGTTAACTCAGATCCCACCAAGAAAGCTCATGATGGTAGGGCCCAAGAACTCAGCTTTTCCAGCCCCAGAGGGTATTCTGGAAAAGTCTCATCCAGAACTACAACTGGAAACCTATGGAAGTGAAGAATAGAGCCTCCGTATCCATACATTCACCAGTAAATCTGCATTCTCCCATCCATGGCATCTGTTAGGTCTGAACATTTAGTTTCATCCTGGTTTACAGGATGATTTCATTTTACATATATGATGAACTAAACAGCTTATGTGTAGTTTCCAAGAAGAAAACAGCCAATGCACATACCAAGAAGAAACAACCAATGCACATATATATATATATATATATATATATATATTTTGGCAGAATTCCAAAACTAGCATGCAAAATAACTTTGGGGGCAAAAATCCATTTACAATTTAGGTGCTGACTGTATTTAATGAATCTGAGAACTTTTCAAGAGATGGTGTAAAAACTGTATTTGCTTTTTTTTTTTTAAGATTTATTTATTTTTATTGGAAAGGCAGTTGTACAGAGAGGAGGAGAGACAGAGAGGAAGATCTTCTATCCGATGACTCATTCCCCAAGTGGTTTCAACGGCTGGCGCTGCACCGATCTGAAGCCAGGAGTCAGGAACTTCTTTCTGGGTCTCCCATATAGATGCAGGGTCCCAATGCTCTGGGCCATCCTTGACTGCCTTCCCAGGCCACAAGCAGGGAGCAGATGGGAAGTGGAGCTGCTGGGATTAGAACCGGCACCTATATGGGATCCCAGTGTGTTCAAGGCGAGGACCTTAACCGCTATGCTATCATGCCGGGCCCTAAAAACTGTATTTACTTTTACAACACTTTCACATCAAAGTGGGAAAATAGAATAAGCACTCTGAGAAATCAGAAATTATAGGACATTAAACATTCTATGTTTAATATTCAATTTGTAAAGAACTAAGTGAGGAATTGCCAGATGAATGCTACCGTGGCTCGGGATTAGAAGTCTCCTGTTAGCAGGGCGTCTCTGATAATAGAGGTTAAGTTAATTCTTCTGTTTGGTAATCACATCCTCTTCTCTACCCACTGTGAGCCGTGAGGATACCACAGCAACAACAATTGCAACAGCAGTCCCATTGGGCTGATGACCTTATGTATGATGCCCAAGAGGAAAAGAAAAGTTCTTCATTGTGTGCCTTAGGCACGGGGGAGTCATTTGATATCTAGTTCTCTCATTGATTCAGATTGAATTTTATAAAATAAAATGCTTTAAGTTTGAATTTATTTTGAATGTTCAACTAGGCAGAATTCTTATATGTAAATTTGAGACTTGTGTTTATCGTTACTCGGATTATGTATACTGATGGAGAAGGAATGTGTGCAATTCTCTGTGTGTGTGTGTAATAAAAAAAAATATTCATTTGACTTTGGAATTGAACCAGTGCTCATTCTGGCTCTAGATATTATGCACTGAGGAATTGTAATCAGGTTCCCTAACTTCCTAAGCCAAAGGTTCCCCATATGCATAGAAAGACAGGAGTAGTACAGGGGTGAGAGATCTTGATATGATCTTAGGCAGCTAGTTCAGGGTCTGCCTCCCCTGCCCGTGTACTGCCTTTTGTCATTAACTATGTACCCATCATTAACTGGGACTTGGGTGGGGGTTCGGGGTGATGGGGATGTGGAGATGTTGCAGTATTGCACAACCACTCCCCTTGAAAGCCCCATAAAAGCTCGTACTGGGAATGAACTTGCTCTCTGTGTTATGGAGTTCCCTGCTCACACTCCAGGTCTTGGCCTCTTGCCTGCTCTTTTGTTCTCTTGATTCCTGTGGACAGACCCCCAAAGACAGATACAGCCCCTGAACAGGGCCCACGTATGTCTGTATTCCTCATCCCCTGTTCACTGCTTGGGACACTCGGAGAAGATACAAATGCTAAGATGTTTTGTAT